CGGCTGATAAAACCACGGACAAGAGCACGGCATTGATCAAACTCGGAAGAACCCTGACACCGGCCAAATCAGCCGCGATAACCATAGGCGAGGAGGATGCGTTGGTTGTCGCAGTGGTGAGTCGGCCGTTGTCATAGGGGACCACGAGCCCAATGAAGAAGATCGTCAAGACGAAAAATAGAAGAATTCGAACAAACGTCTTGCGGATAGCCGATGGAACGGTTTTTTGCGGGTTTTCGGTTTCTCCAGCCGCCACACCGACAAGCTCCGTGCCTTGGTAGGAGAATCCGGCTTGGATAAGCACCGCCCAGAAGCCAACGAACTTGCCTACAGATACTGGTAAATCGGGACTGTACGTGGCAAAAGCCCCCGGTGTGCTCCAGTAGCGAAAGCCCAGATAGCCCTGTTCCCCAACTCCGACATCGATGCAAATAGCAAAAATGATGAAACCAATGACAGTGGCCACTTTGATAGTTGAGAACCAGAACTCAACTTCACCGTAGAAATTGACGGGGAGAAAGTTCATGGCCGTGATGAATACCCAGAACACTCCGATGAAAATGGCAATGTTCAGACTAGGATCCCAATATTGGATGATGGTACCGGTCGCGGTCAGTTCAACAGCAAATGTGGACGCCCAGTTGAACCAATAAATCCAGCCCATGGAAAATCCGAGGCTTGGGTCGATCAGCCGGGCTGCGTAGGATGTGAAGGCACCGGGGATTGGAATATAGGTTGCAACCTCGCCCAACGAGCTCATGACAGAATAGACGATGGAGCCGACGAATATATAGGCGATCAACGCGCCAGCTGGACCAGATTCTGCAATGGCAGTGCCGCTGGAAATAAAGAGTCCTAGACAGGTTAGATTTCGCGATTTTTCAAGCCGAAGACGTAAGGGCAATAGACTATACCTGTGCCGATAGTTCCACCTGTGAGAGAAGTAAGTTAGCCTCGTCCGTAACCTGTTTTGACCGAGAAAGTCAAGGCATACCAATCGCAATCATCTGTAGATGCCTGCTTTTCAGCTTGCGCTTTAGTTCCCCAGGGGTAGAGGTGTCGGCGTGATTTTGCTCGGCATCGGCCTCCTTGGTGTCTTGAAAGGCATTATCCGACTCTGCAGAGACCGCATTTGCAGAGGATTTAGTATCATTAGGTACTGCGGAGGCATCGTGGGAAACCATGTCGGGCATGGCAGGGCCACCACGGGGTGGTGTATCCAATTGAAATGAGATTTGAATAAGACGAGTTTAGTATGACAGCAGTCAGCTGTATGATTTCTTTCAAGATTGTCGAAAGATCAGAGAATTTTCTGCACAAGGCTCCCAAGAACGGGCTCGGTGGGGTTCCGAGAAGAGATCCATGGGTGGAGTCAAGAATCTTTAAATGTTTTAGGTAAGTGGCGTCGAACTACCCATGGATGTATCCGGAAAAGAACCTCGGAAGACATTTAGAAGGTGGTAAAATAGTACCTCGAGAGAAGTACCGATGAGCTTGAAGGTACATGATTAAATATGTCGATAGCTATCAAAACTAGGTATAAATCCCTAAGAGGTACTTGAGATAAAGTACACAGTGAAGATTTTCCAAAATTCACTTCTAGACTATATCAATACATGTGCACCTTTATCTAAAGGTGGAAATGTAGAACAATCAAATATATACATGTTGTATATACGATGTGCGATGAATACCACTTTGTTTTGTCTTTTTGGCGAGCAGCTTCGAGGGTAAGGTCACTACTACAAATGTCGTACGACTCGCATCTCGGGCAAACCTCGGGAGGCTTGGCATTTGCGGCCCCGGAAGTCAGGCAACAAGACTTTGGTTAACTCACGTGACTCTATAACCTGAAATATCAGGCCAACAAAGCAACATTTCTTTCATTAAACTAACTCGGAACGATTTGATATCCATGTTTACGCAATATGACACAACCAATCTTATGAAACTACCATATCTCATACCCTAGTGCTACACATGTACTTCACTTCTACTTACCTATGTAGGTGATGCTGATGCGGATTCAGCCGTACTTCTACTTCTTCAGTTCTGTCAGAATGGCGTCTTAGCCCCAAGTACCTGTTTCAGCAGGGGTCAGATCAAATCTTGGCTTTGGAACGCTCAATATCTTCCATCTCCTTTTTCTTTGGGCCAGAAAATCCAAATATGTACGCCCCAATCTTGCGCATTTGAATCTCCTCCGCGCCTTCCGTGATCCGATAACGACGGAAATGACGATATATGTGTTCAAAAGGATAGTGACGAGAGTATCCATCACCCCCGTGAATCTGATCAGTCAGTCATGTCTCCAAAATCAGCCGGTGTGGACGAACCTGAATCGCTCGGTCGGCAGCTTGACAGCATAATCGATTTGCCCAGAAGTTACACATGGCCACCTGATCGGAGAGTCGGCGCTCAATTTCAACCCACGGCGGGGGCTGGGCTTCTGATGACTGGCACTCCGCCACAACACGATCCATCTCCCAGCTTGTCTTCAGTATGAACAGTCGCAGCATCTCCACCTGTGTCATCAACTCAACGACCGGGAACTGGATAGCCTGGTTATCAGCCAGGGTTTTCCCTTCACCCCATATCTTCCGTGCCCGTGCGCGCTCGATGCTTCGGTCCAGGCAGTATCGTGCGGCCCCACAGGAGCTGGCTGCTTGACGAATTCTATTCTCGTGCACAAATGTTTGGGCGATGGCTAGTCCCTGGTCGACCGACCCCAAAACCGCCGATCCAGGCGCCCACACGCTATTCAGTTCCACCGTTGCGTGGTCGGTGGGCATGTTCAATGTCCACTCATAACTAACGATACGAACCCCTCCTGTGTTACGAGGAACTAAAAATGCCGTAATGCCTTGTGCCGATCCTGCTTGGCCAGAAGTTCGTGCAAAGATGAGAAAATGGGTACAGTGATGCGCCCCTGTCTGCCACTTCTTTACCCCAGTAATCTCAAAACCTCCCCGAATTCGATGGGCTGTAGTAGACATGAAGGTTGCATCACTTCCGTGGTCGGGTTCGGTAAGTCCGAATGTTATTCGGAACTTCCCCTGCAGACGCGCAGGAATCAAGGTATCTCTTTGTTGTTGATTGCCAAAATGGTGGAGCATCAAAATATCCGGGAAATTTCCAACGATGCTATGCTCATTCTGTAAATCATTGGCCAGTCCCAAACCACCGCCGTACGTAGCATTTGAAGACAATTTATAGCGAATGGCGGACATCCATAAGTTCACCTCTGGATGTGACTTCCCACCATAGACCCCGGGGAGGGCGAATCGGTAAAACCCCGAGGAATCAGCTAGAGAACGCGCCTTCCCTACCGATTTATCAGTCTTGCTTGTCTTTGGATGTCATTCAGGTTTTGTTGAACTGACCTAATAGCTCTTCCCATTCCTTTCGCGGATTCCCATTGTTTTCCCAGTCAGTCCGTGCATACTCACGGCGGTGATCAAAGAAGCGGTTATTGTCGTTGGAATGCTGCAATGGGAGAATAGTTGAATGGATAAATGAATCTATGGATTCTAAGTAAGCTTGGAGGTCTGCTGGCAAGTCAAAATTCATTTTGATGATGTTGTTATGGATGATCAAGGCTATATTGTATATATATATATATATATATTCGCAGTTCCCCGCATTCGGACCTCGGCGACCACGCATCTTAATTTAATACCCGAATATATATCTACACGTCTCTCCAACTTAGTTTAAGTTTATATAAAAAATTTCGATGTTTTACTCTAAAGAGGGAAAAAAAAAAAAAAAAAAAATACAGAGAAATTGCCCCTTAATCATACACGAACCCGACGAAAGCGCGGGGGCACAGGGGGTTTTATTTTAGTGTCTCGCTTGTAGGATGAGTGATGGGTTGCAAACTTCATTCAGAATGTGCAACATGTTGGAGTATGAGGTATTTAATGGTTGGCAAGAGCAAACCTATTTTACGGATGCAGATGGGTGATATAATGTGACAATATACGGAGTAGATGACTACGACCTAAGGAGGATTCGTGCGTCCTTGGGAGAAGTGCAACTCCGCACACCGTGCTCTTTGAGTTTTCTTGTTTACACAACGCGCAACTCTTATCTGTCCCGCTGTACTCCATACTGTACGTGGCTGATGGGGTTGTCATCAAGGATCCGCTATTCGGTATAACGTCTAAGCATAATATTATGTTGTAAAATGATTTTGAGGTCGGGGTGAGAACCATGCTCAATGATATATCCCCTATCTCATCAAATGCTACTCCGTACTCCATCATCCGTACTCGATATCATGTCTCGTATTTCACGGACTTTTGGCACACAATAGCGTTGTCTGTGGGGGCTTTTCCCCTTTGCCATTTGCACCATTCCTAATTGGGAACCGTCCGAACTTCGTGAAGAACCAGTAGGCATCTCTATCACATCTGTCCGAAGACCAAAAAAAAAGAATAGGCGCAATATAAAGGGAAGAAAAGAGTGAAAGTAACTCTTCATCCATAGAGGATCACCGTCATGTTAAAGATTCTCCAAGATTTTGATTCTTCAGCTGTCGGCAGTGTTAAACGCTTTGTCCCTCCGGGATCCTGAAGGTTCCACCAAGGCCCCGTGCGTGCCCTTTGAACGGGGCTTGGAAGTCATCAATCCGAACCTCTTATAATAAGTGAAATAGATGATCCTAAGCCATGGACGCATTCTTCAGACCCACGACTGAACTAGTGTTCACATGGTCACCCGTTTCTGTTGGCACGGATGTGCCGCGATAGGTTGGAAAAAAAGATACCCACTACACGAGGCCCTTCCCCATCCACAAAGGTACGACTAGAGGTTACCGACAGTATGGATTCCAATCACCATTCTGAGTTCGTTCGGCCTAGTGGCGGATTGTCCTTCTTGACAGTTGTGGAACAACAATCCAAGAAGGTCAAAAAGCACCTACGGAGAATTGGAAGATCAGCATTTACATCTTTCCGCTACAACTTGTTTTTTCTCTCCCTTCAAACCCACGCACCATGGATTGGTGGAAACCCATTATCTCACAGCCCATTGTGGCTATTGGCGTGGTCGGATTGACGTATGTGGTGTGGCTGGCAACATATCGGATATGGCTGTCACCACTGGCCCATTTCCCTGGACCAAAACTGGCCGCTTTGACAATGTGGTACGAGTTCTATTACGATTCGTTCCTCGAAGGCCAGTACACTTTTCGAATCGCAGAGATGCATCGCAAATACGGTCCGATTGTGAGAATCAGTCCCTTTGAACTACACATCGACGACCCAGAGTACTATGAGATCTTATACTCTCGTGACAAACCCAGGAACAAGTCGTTGCATTTGACTGGCATGTTTGGGGCACCTGCATCCGCTTTTGGCTCAGTCGATCACCGCTGTCATCGGATACGTCGACAACCTATGAACCCGTTCTTTTCTCACCAGCGAATTCGACAGTTGGAACCAATGCTCCGGAGAATGATTGATAAGTTGCGGAAAGGAATGCGGGCATGGAAGGAGAGGGATACACCGCTGCATGTTTATCATGCGTTTAATGCCTACACGACAGACGTGGTTGTGGAGTATTCTATGGGTGAATCGTTCCATTATTTGGATGACCCTGATTTTACACCGCAGTGGTCAAAGACAATTGAGGCAATTGTACAAGTCGGGGTTCAATTCAAACAGTTTCGCTGGGTCTTCAGATTGTTTGAGCTACTCCCACGGTGGCTAGTTGTGAGAATCAACCCTCACATTGGCCCGGTAATTGACCAGAAAGCGGAAAGTTTACGACTAGCGAAATCGATTATTGATAGCCAAGCCGCTGGCGGGAACTTGGTAGACGACAAGGTCAGTCAACTCAAAGGCACATTATTTCATGCGCTGCTAGACAGCAAGCTTCCCCCAGAGGAGAAGACACCTGGCCGCTTGAGTCAGGAGGTTTTCACCGTCATCTCGGCTGGAGGAGAAACGACTGCGAAGAACTTGACAACACTTACGTTCCATTTACTCAACAACCCAGACAAGCTACAAAGGTTACGGGACGAGCTCAACCGACTTGACCCCGATGGAACCGCAACCTTGGTGGAATACGAAACAATGCCGTATCTCGTGAGTTATTCAATTCGCACCATCGACTCTATGAAATGTCGAAATATCTGACAACACAGTAGACGTCCGTTATGCTGGAGGGTCTCAGGTATGCCATGGCTTTGTCTTCCAACTCCCTGTGGCACGGTTTTTTTTTTCCATTTGCTGACTTGGCCCGCATGAAGAATCACCAATGCTGTGGCAACAAGGCTTCAACGTAGCTGTCCAGATCAATCTATGACTTACAATGACTGGATCATCCCTCCCGGGGTACGATATCTCCATTTCCTATCTGTTTGTGGTTGCCCCGGCCTTCTTCTGACGATATAAACCAGACACCCGTGGGGATGACCAGCATATTTATGCACAACAATGAAGCTATTTTTCCAGACTCGGAAAAATTCATCCCGGAGCGATGGATGGACCCAGAGCAGAGGAAGCACCTTGAGAAGTATCTGGTTGCTTTTAGCAAGGGATCAAGACAGTGTATTGGAATTCCGTAGGTGGATGTCTTTTGATTGTTCCACTTTGATCGCATACTAACATATGTTGACCAGTCTCGCACGGGCGGAGATTCTTTTAGCAATCGCCACCATTTTCCGGGAATTTGAGATGGAGCTCTATGAGACTACAGTAGATGAAGTTCGAATCGTGCGAGACATGTTCAATGGCCACCCACGGAAAGGAAGCCAGGGCGTTCGCGTGATGATAAAAGGCTGGGATGGACACTCTAGGCCGAGTGGAAACTCTCTATGAGGCTCTTTGACTTTGTTCTTTATTATTTGTTTGATTCCGAGCGAGTTTCACGAAGATGTGACTCGCTGCCGATGACTGGTTCATTACAATTACAGAAGTTACGCGGAAATTCCAAAACCTTCCAATGGATCTTTCTCTGGGGCTGGTTGGGCGGATATATTAGGCGCAAATCCGGGATACAGGCGGCTGCCAAACCTTGATGTAAGTGAATATTGCATATCATCAGCTTTTTGAACTCATAGGTAAGTGCACTGGGGTTCTACACGATGCATACCTCCTTAAATTATATGAAATATATTTGCACTCCATTGATATTTCCTGTGTTCCAAAGCCAGCCGCCCTCTAGCCAGGAATGCATTCATGCTTTCAACCCCTTACTTTGGATTCTCCACCCTCGACAGTTGGTCCTAGAATACTCCGTAATCGGTGAATTTCAAGATGTGGATGCAAAATATAAAATCCAGCTGGGAGAGAAAAGAAAACATCAGTGGCGCAGAACCGTCAAGCCGGAAGATTCTCAGCTGGGCCCTAGGATGGCTTTAATCCTCCGAACTTCAATGTGGCTTCAGGCTCAACGTAAACTGCAATCTTCAAAATCGGATTGGGTACTTTTTATGGTAGTCTATACCTGATTTCAGAGTGTTTAAGTTCCAAGTTTAGTTCGGTGGCGTCAAGTTCGCCTCCCACCTAGGTACTATAGGGTAATATCTATGACCAACCGCGTCTTTAGGCACCGTGCGGGGAATGACCTGTGTCTCCGAGACTAGGTTCTGCATTATGCTCCGTTTAATGTCTTCGCCATTTCCTGCGAGGTCTTCATCTCAGGCCAATGGACCGTTGAAGCCGTCTCAACGTATCGGCTATTCCTTGCGAAAGAGGGCTCACGTTTCAGGTGCGGCGCTAGGTGAGACATTATTCACCTCCATTGTATCACGGCAGATATGCTCCTTCATACATTGCTGCCATTTGAGCATGGTGTAACATCTTCCATGTATCCTGAAGCACCTCGTACCGGGACTCTGGGGCTCAGCCTTCAGTTCATGGATGAGATGAGAATACCCTTAAATTTCTGCCTGCATGTCCCCATGTCTATACACATGTTGTGAGAGGTCTGAGTTGGTATGAGTTGAGAACTTGTCACACCTGAGAACTGGGCGTGCAAAAGGTGGGAGTATCCAACGAATCACCATGTAGGGTCCTCGAGAATGCTATGGATCATGTTCCAAGAGGGAGGTATACAGACGCGGTGATACCAACCCACGCGCTTGCTCTAATTTTGAATAGAACTATCTTTCTTCGAGCGTAAAATCTGTTTAGATGTGTCGATGGGAATGATTCAACCCAATGGGTAGGTTCCTGTATTGCATTCAGAGTACATATTTGCCCATGGTAGCTTCTCATCAATGGACTATCTCTGCAATTGTTGGACCCCATAACGAATGTCACTTTTTTTTTTTTTTTTTTTTGATCCTTACAATGCATCCAAACCACAATTATCGGCATTCTCGACGGTCCGCTTGTGACCGTTGTCGCGGACAAAAGTTGCGATGCGAGCGCGATCATATGAATGGCATGTCTTGTGAGCGATGCCTTAAGGCCCAAGAGATATGTATCACAAGTATGAACCAGCCTGCACCAGTCATTTTACCCTCAAACCATGGGCAAAATGTACTTTCCCGAGATGACTACGAGCACCAAAGATTCAATCCAAGGCATAAATCAATGCCTGTGCTTCACAAATCATCCGGCTCCGGAGTGAAGAAGTTGGTACATTCTCCCTCTCTAATTCCAAGGAGACACAGTATGAAAGAGCACCACTACTGGGGAGGAGTATCCCCAATGCCCATTTTCCCTGGAGGCAGCTTTCACTCACCCTCAGCGGACTTTGGGTTTAATATGCCCCTAGAGCTTGGAAACACGATGGTCCCCGTTGAGCGGTGGAGTGATCCGATTTCAATGTGGTCACCCGATGCTTATGACCTAGTAAGTTAATCCTCGAGGGGAGATACAGCAGCCATCTACTGACTAGCAATCCATATAGCCTTCTGATTGGATACCATCGGATCAACTATATCCTTGCCAAGCAAATTATTCTTTCCCCTCAGCTTTTACCAATGATGTCCTACCAGGCGCAAGGCAAGCCACTCAAATGGCAATTCCGGAGCCTTTTCAAACTAAGCGTCTGAACTATGGCGAGAATGAATTACCATTTGGCATAAATGATCTTCCAGATCCTGCATGGGTAAATCAGCCAGACCTTGCAATTGTAGCCAAGCTTCCCCCAACGACAACAAGCCAAGCAGTTCTCTCTATGAAAAACATTCACAATAGTCTGTTGAGATTGAAACTGGGACTCCTTGAAGATCTGGAGTTGTTCGAGAATAGATCGATTCTCCTACAATCGTCATCCCTTTTCTATGAAGATTCTAATCTGTCAATTGAGACACTCGACCTTCCAATATATCGTCTACTCGAGCACAGTTCTTGGCTTTTGGCAATTATTCGATCTTCGTGTGGTACAACGGAAGACAGCTTGGGTGTTACACCTGGTGCCCAACCATTTAAACCAGAGAGCATTGGGTACGATGACTCTTTGCCTATCCTTCCGGATGCTGGCGACAGTGGCGGGGATGAAGGTGCCACCTCTGTATCCCCACATGATTCCGGTTATCATACCACGATGACATCTCCGGATCGAACAACGAGTTCCACTGTCCCAAAATGTGATGTCGTTCTGTGGCTTGGAATATTGGAGGCGCATTGCTCACTTGTTCGCATTTATCGTGCGGTTTTCATGCGGTTATACCAGCTGTTTCTCATCATCCCTCCAGCTGATGCAGCCACAATTCTGTTGTTACCTGAGGTCCGATTTGGACAGTTTCATTTAGATGGAAATCTCATTCTCCAAGTTAAATCATTAGTTGAGTTCAGCTCTACAATGATGGGTAAGCTTGACCAAGCCCTCAAAATGCGGTCAGGCTTAGCGCAACCCCAAGAGGGTCGAGAGTTCGATCCAACCGAAACATTCCGCCAGGAAAATTGGTCAACCTCAATCCGGGAAATTGTCCTAACACAGGAACAGGATACTTGTGAAATGTCGTTGATGGAAATAATGGACTACTTGAGGCAACTTGTTAAAGACACAGTGGTTATTTAATAGTATAGCCTTTCATGATCCTCGTCCATATCTAAAAAGGGGTTTACTTTCAGGACTTGGCACTGTAGAATAATACAATTATGAACTGATGATAAATAGGAGCAGAACTGCGTCTCGAGATCGGGTAAAAAAAGGTTCACATAGAGTGGGAGAATATATCCTCACGCTCATGATTATCGCAAACCGGGCGACCAAGGCGTGATGTGATGTAGGGGCGCTACTCTATGAGCACCTAGACCTATTGATTTGGAATGGAAACCATACCGTGTTTGATATCTTGCAATGCAACACCATACTATGGTATTGATGGGATGCCGCAGCCATTGCAGTGGCCTGCGCATGGATGAATTGCTGCCCTAGATATCCCCTGCATGGTCGGACACCGAGTCCGAGTCCGATCCTGATTTAGAATCCATATAGGGTTCCCTGGAGTACGGAGTAAAGGAGACTGAACTCTACCGTTAAAAAGGAACGATCGCCTCATTATCACAGAGATATAGGTTTCAAACAGAAGAACAGACGTCTCTCCAACCATTTGCCGAATCTCCAACCCCCAGGATGGCTGTACCTGATTTCAAGGACGTTCCTGATCTTACTGGAACCTGGGTATTGGTATGTTTTCACTAGTTGACTACTTACCTAACGCATGGGCTAATATGATGATTAGAACCGAAAGCTGTCAACCGATCCAGATGATGTTTTCGTCTTGGTAAGAGCTAAGGTGAATCAATGTATTGGTTCTGATTTACTGAGAAATAATAGCAAGGTGTACCTTGGGTTGTCAGAAAGGTCTTGCGACACGCCCGGCTTTCATTGCAAATCAGCCAGACCACTTCTCCGTCCGCTAAAAATGGCCCATGGATGGAGGCAGACTCTAGTGAAGGTTCTGATATGGCCGCGGATGTGAAACCAGTCACAACTCTCCGTATGACACAAACTGTCAATCCAGGGGGTTCGATAGCGAAGGGAGTTATTCAGTCGATGGAAGCCCGCAGGACGTTTCACTGCCTATCTTCGGAGATATCCAGATGCAGCTCCAATTTGTGAACATATCCGCTATACTGGAAGAATCCATCCGTCAGATTCTGGAGGTGGCTAGCTTGAGTGACAAGGTCATTCAGGAATTAGCCCAGAATGCGTCAAAGGGATGGGAAGCGGAAGTGATTTGGGGATTTGAAGAGCTCGACGGAAAGAGATATTTGACGCGAAACATTAGCACGACAAAGGAGGAGAAGAAGATCATTGCCAAGATGGTTTACGATGGTCCAAATTAGATGATACCTACATATTACCTATCTTGATCTTGATCATTCCGTATGTTCAACACAAATTGGAATTTTGAATGCGCCGCATAACACCACTATAGACAGCAGTCTCAACAAAAGGTCATGTTACTATTTTCTTACTTAGTTAGGTGATCTCCAGTTCTAATAGCATTGCACTTTTTGACCGGAATTTACAGATATTATAGCGAGGTCTCTATGTTTGAAGTCTATTCACTTGGTAATAACCATAAACTATTAGGAATAGTGAAGAGCTGAGTGTCGGGTGTACAAAGCGATATGGGATTCCAATCATTGATCAAAGCCTATTTAATTTCCACAAATATTCTAGCATTTGGCTATGCTTCTTTCAGGCCATCAACTCAAATGAAAACTCTCATCTTGTGGTCATAGGGACGACGAGCTTCTTCCCGGAAACCTTTCCATTTCGTAGCATATTCAGCCCCTCCAAAATCCCTTCAAATTTGCCCGAGATGGTTTGAAATGGACACGCTTTAAGATCCCCATTGTTGATCAGTTTTTGGAGTTCTGCATACCATGACCGAGCCCAGACCCCAATCTCGGGTCGTGGTGGAATGCCGTATGGGTCTGGGAGCTCAACACCTCGTCCAGAGATGGCACCCCCCATGACTAGTTCGTGCTTGATTGTCTTTCGTGAACAAAGACTTTCTTGGTATTGCTCAAGTGCACAGTACCTTCCTCCAGTACGGCCAATGGCTGCATAGCACATCCGCAGAGTCTTGGCTTCCGCAAAGGGATCAAGGGCGTAGCGCAAAGTGTTTTTTGTGGCCGCTCGAATATCTTCAGCGCATTTTGGAGAGTTGTAATCAAAGACAAGATCAGCCCCGTATGATTTCACCAAGTCGCGGTTGTGAGGAGAGCATGTGGTGATTACCCGGTGGCCGCAGCTAAGTAAGATGAAAGTAAGATGGATTAGTGACTTGAATATACCGAAAGCCATAAGAACGAAATAGAACTCTTACAGCTTCACCATCTGGATTGCAAGTAGCCCTATAGTGCTACTTCCACCGTATACCAGAACGTCCTCGGGCTTGGATGTTGGTGTGTGCAATTCTCCGGGCAATCGAAGCGACCAAAAAAGAGCAACCCCAAGAGTCGCAATTGCGGTCCCTGAAAGGGAGGGTGCATTGAGAAGATCCATCCCTTTAGGAACATGGAAAATAAGATCCGGCTCGGTTCGAATATAGTCACAATAGGCTCCAGACATTGGATCCGACATGTTTGAGCCTTGAACAGCACCAAAAGCCTGATCCCCGAGACGGAATCGTCCCTGTGCAGCAACCTCGCTTCCTAGCGCAACCACTGTGCCTGAAAAGTCACACCCGTCTCGGAGACCTGGAGTTGGGAACCTCAATGGCATTTTATAATCACAGGGGTTAAGAGCCACCGCAGCAGTCTTCACCAACATTTGATGGGGCTCGAGTTCTGGGATAGGCAGACCATGAGTGATTTGAAGAATACCGCCTTCATGTTGAATGATGCCGGTCTGATTTGAGGGTAGTTCATCCCGGGCTGCCATATTGTGACTGTAAAAAGAAAGTGGTAAAAATTTAACCGCTTCTGAATTTGGGAGACTCATTTATATAAAATTCAATTCGTCTCACTGTACGACACAGAACAAGACAGTAAGAATGAAAAGAAAAAGCCGCCAAAAAAAAAAAAAGAAAGAAAGTAGCGCAAACTGGGCGGTTTCTGGACGGTTTCTGGGCATGCAATGCTGGGTTTAAAATTGGCAATTCTTGTCCAAGTAATAAATCCTGCCTTTCTAGACATGACCGGGAACAATCCCTGGGCATCACAGTCTCCACGAGAATGTAGAGTTGATTATTGATTGGGAATTTTTGTTTGTTCTCAGCAGTTAACGTGATAATAATTAGGGTCATTTCAACGCTAGCCAAGAATGGCAACACCCCCTGATGCAAGATGACACTGCTTACGCCTCTCTCTACATACAATGTGCCTTGTGTTGTATTGCAGGGATGCAGTTCAATTCAGCCTGCATTCAGTCATTGTCAACCGATGGATTCGGACGATTTTATGATTCTATCCTTTTCTATTATAATGTACGTGCGAGGTTATCTGCAGGTGGAAATGAAGCCAACAGATGTACGTTCATGTTTCAGGGACGAAGAGATTAGATATCTTTAAAAGTTACCTCTTCATACAATTACACTTTCAGAACATCTCACACTTCATGTATGCAATATAGTGTAGTACTATTACAATACAGTCCATAGAGATAGAGGTAAAAACCAAAGCGGGAGGATTTTGCTGTCAGGGCTCTCTCAAATATACCTAGGCCATTCTCTTACATTGATATATTGAATAAACAAGTTACGTAGGTACAGTGGCGTGAAAGAAAAAGGTTGTCTCTTGAACTTTGGAAAAAAGAACCCCCCCCAACCTCCCGAAAATGCGGAAGTACATACCACTGAAATGTACCATGAATCTGACCTCGTCATTGAAATTACAAGACAATACAACAAGTTGGCCCAATTCAAAAGGGTATGCATTATCAAAGACCAGGAGAGCAATCGCTCTTGGGCTTCGTCGGTGGATCAAATCGAAATATCATTCATTCAAATGTCTGACGCTGACTGCATATTCGGCTCTGGATCGTCGGATGTAGACAAAAAGAGAAAAGAAAAGAGCTTGAGACTACTCTTTGCTCCTGGTGTTGACCTACCAGTATACAGTATTGTGCCTAGTTAACTTCCATCTACGGGTATTAACGTTTATATGTGAACATCAATCAAGCGTGCATTTCCACCTATTCCAGAGAGGAGATAGGTCTATATAGAAAGTCATGAGAAAAAGTAGCTCTTGCCCTGAAATTTGAGTCGCAGATACCATCTGAATAAGGTATTCCGCTCAAATAACAGCCGGAGAACATTGGGATATGACCCTGTAGAGCTAGCAAGTGTATTCGACTGAGGACATACATATATCTCCACAAGAGGAAAAAAGCAGAAGTTGCGTAAGACTTTGGATAACGAGAAAAAATAATTATTTCGGTCGATGGTAACTAATTGTCGCTCTAACTTTCTATTGCCATACATCCTCATTCATCCTCAGAAAATCCGGCTTTAATCAACCTGGGGAGCAGGACTTGACCATCAGAGGCCCTGCGCAAGTACTCTCCCAACAACACACTCATTCCTGCTTGTTCGGCAGCATTCACCCACTCGTCGAGGGAAACGATCTGAAATTGTTGGCCCGAGCCCGATTCCATCAAGGGCATAATCTCATCGCGCCCTATCTTCGTCTCGCCAGATTCATAAAGATAGGTCATAGACCCAATAGCTAGTTCAGTGACGCTAGATTGGTGAACTGCTTCGAGTAGTTGGCTTGCGGCTGACTGCACAGAAATGAGATCGAAGACCCCTGACCATGAGCTCGAGTCTGGCACTTTGTGGGTTGTTTTGGTAAACCGCATGACATTACCCATGAGATCGAGTTCTGGTGCATCAGTACCGGTGATGCTCGATGGACGGTGGATCCATACGGGGAGACCAAATTGGCGGTTGATGCGCTCTAGATAGACTTCACTCACCCACTTGGCAGCGATGTACCCATCTGTTGGTCGAGACGGAGGAGGATACGACGAGACAGACGTTTCCCCGAAATTTTCTTGGGCGGCAAGGCGCGCAACCCCAGCCGACGAGACGAAATGGAATGGAATACGCCGGGGCAATGCAAGTTTCACGAGTTCCTTTGTCGATGCCACATTGATCAGCTTAAGGGTCCGATATGTTTTCATGAACGATACATCCGCGCCATTGTGAATAACAATGTCTGCACAGCAGAATATCGATCTGGTGTCAGATTCCGAGAGCCCTAGTTGAGGAGCCCCTAGATCACCAAAATGCAAATGAACTTTCGGATGAGCAAATAGTTCAGGTAAATCCAAGGATCGTTTTCTGACAGCAAGACAATGAACGGATGAGACCTTTTCATCTTGTATGAGTCTCCGGAGTATTTCCTTGCCAAGGAAACCAGTTGCCCCGGTAAGCACAACACTCTTGACCCCCGAGGGGATAATGTGAGTATCACTGTAATTCAGAGATGAAGTCAGGTCGGATGCGATTTCAACTTCTGTATCCCAATTCACATCTGGCTCGATTGCGGGACAAGATATGTCTTGAATTTTAGCCGCCATTCCGCGTAGAGTGCTCGCTTCAAAAAGTTGATACAATGCCATAGATGCACCGAGGTTCTCCTTGATCAGAGCTTGCAGGTTCACTAGAGCGAGCGAACTTCCACCAACGTGGAAAAAGTCGGATAGGGAATCAATTGAGTGAAAGCTACTAAGTTCCCGTGGAAGTGCCTGTTGCCAGAGTTGACGCAATGACTGTTCAAATGCCGTGAGAGTGCTATCGTCCGGTAGCTTGGATGAAATTAACGGGATGGGAAGTGCACTGACTGCGGCGCGATCAGTCTTTCCCGAGGTATTTTGGGGAATATTCTCAACAGGAATGATAGCAGCAGGTCGCATATGATGTGGCAAAGGAAGCTCCTGGGAAAGGCGCGTGAGAAATTGAAGCGCATTTTCAGAATCGTGCGTAGGAGCCATTGTAGCAAAAGCAACTAGAAATTGATCACCCGCGGATTTAGTTGCTTCTGAACGAACAGATACAACAGCTTGCGTGATAGCTCCAGCAGAAGAACTGACGATCGCGGTCTCGATTTCTTCAATATTGATCCGAATTCCCCTCAATTTGATTTGGTTATCTCCGTCCATGCGACCAAGTAGAATAAGACCACCATCGCGGTTGAGTTTTCCGCGATCTCCAGTGCGGTGGATTGTTGTCCAGCTCTTCTCCTGGAAAAACTTGCTCGCATACCGATCATTCAAAAAGTGTTCAGCTGTTTTGGAGCCGTCAAGATAGCCCTGGGAAACTCCTGCACCACCAACAACAACTTCACCAGGAACTCCGATGGGAACAGGTTTCAAAGCTTCGTCAACAATGTAAACAGAATAGTTTGGTAGGGTATACAGTGCTGGGCCAGGCGATAATGATATCGAATCCAGCAGGTTGTAAGGGACCTCACTGCCCGAGCATGCAACACTGATCTCTGCCGGCCCATAAGCATTTATCAGTTTGAGATCTGGCCGATGGAGATTCTTAATCTCTTGAATCAAGCCACTTGACATGAATTCACCACCGCATACCGCAGTCGACAAGCGAGAGTTACTGAGGTGAGAGCGACCATGACGCACCCAAGCGAGATATTCCGTGGGCGTCGCAAGGGTGCATGTCACATTCTCCGATGCGATAAGTCGTGTGATAGCGACGGGATCGCCTCTTGTGAGATCAGATGCAATCACAAGGGTCGCACCCGAGCATAGGGAGACCATGATCTGCCACAAAGACGCATCCCATGCATAAGATGATTGATGCAGGATGATCTCGCTTCCCTGCTTAAGTTTCCAGACCTCACTGCATGACTGAACGTGGTGGACATATGCTGAATGGGCAATCATGATTCCCTTTGGGACACCAGTTGATCCACTGGTATACATGATCACTGCTGTCTGGCTTGAGATAGCCATATTTCGGACGACACGTGCAGTAGAGTCGTTTAGGTCACATACGTCGATGGGTTTCGCCGTGGTCTGCAAAAGCGCATAATCGGGAATAGAGTGTGTATCAACCAATACCACCGGTGCTTGTGTTTCTTTCATGACCATCGCGAGTCTGCTCATCCCCGCCTTTTTGTCCAACGGAATGTAGGCACCGCCGACACGCAAGATGGCTATGAGAGAACATATCCAGTCTACACTCGGTGACTGGAAAACCCCAACACGGGTGCCTGTGCCAACTCCATTGCGTAAGAGCTCGTTTGCGATAACATCGATGCGACGCTGGATTTCAGCATAAGTCAAGGGGCTCCCATCATGGGGTTTCAATGCGACATGGTCCGGATAGCGCAAGGCAACTTCATCTAGGCGGTGGACGATAGTCACAGCATACTCGTCTCGGAGCTCCGGCCCTGTATAACATATTTAGCAAAATACCTACAAGGGATAATTAATTGACTTGCCTCGGCCCGCAGTCACTGCCTCCTGGAGGTCTTCTTTGGAATGTAACTCTGGCCACGTAACCCGAGTGGCTGGATTTTGAAGAAATGACCGTAGAAGATTGAAATAGGAGCTGAGAAGAATTTCGGCATGTTCCATTCCATATAAGCTCTTCTGGGCTGATAGATGAATTAGCGTCTCCCCAGCACCAACGTTCCCAACATCCAGACCGAGGTCAAAAGATGTTTCGCCGCCGCCTAGAAGTGCGCCATCGGCCAAGCAACCGCAGAAGCTTCGTGATTGCTCGACTTTGGGTCGATAGTTGAAGAGGGTCTGGCATAGGGGATTGTGTGATGCGGATCGCGGGACGTTGAGTTCTGTCAAGATCACATCGAATGGCACACGTGAGTGGGAAAATGCACCCTGAGTGATGTTACGGACCTCCTTGAGACATTCTCCAAAGGATTGACCCGGCTGCTGAGAGAACCTCACAGGAA